AAGGCTGCAACAGTATATATCTACTTATACTTAATTTTATTGCTTTTTGAACTGTGTCTAACTAATAATCCCACTTGAGTGTGGCAAGCAGGTCTGATTTTCAAGTTTATGGCTCTGTAAACAAATAATATTGAAGACAATATAAATTATGCTTTGCTATATTATGATAGGTAATTTACCTGAAATTCCATATTTCTCAGAGGGGTGATAAATAAATTAGAGAAGAGGGAAAACCTAGAGAGCAAATTTCCAGTTCTCATATTAGGAGAGATTGCGGATACTTTTAAAAATACTTCCCTATAAAATTAAGAACTTAAAATGTAAATAATATTAAAATTTGATTTATTTACTACATTTTGATGACACAATTATTCACATACATTGATAATAAAGTAGTTTAATTAAATTATGAATGTAACTGTGTAAAAAGTTGTGATATGTGCACTTGGACATAATCAAGGTAAAACAGTTAATGAAGTATTGGTTCTTGATTGAAGGTACAGTACATATTTTGTCAAGGATTTCTTCATACATTTATACTGTTTTTATTATTCAGTTTAACTTTACAGCTATGAGATCGGTTGATCTCACTGGGTTTGCAACCATGGAATACTCATTACAATTTCTATACTATAACTTTTAATACAGTTCATGTATCTTTAGAAAATTTGGAAGACTTTCAGTAAACATTACAAGTCATTTGTACACAAAAAATCAGATTTTTAAGGAAGTATTTTCACTAAAGATTTGTCCATGAATATATTGAGTGTATTTTTTTTCCGAGTCTGAGCGCGAAATGATTTTCATGTTAAAATTAAAAATACTTTTCTTCATCTCAAAAATCTCAAATTTCATTCTGTGATCTATATAATCTCCTAAATAAATTTCAAACATTTTTTTTTCACTAAAACTTTACATTTTATCTGCTATTTCCCCTACCCTTGCTCTATACAAGGTTAGTCAGTTTAACCACCAAAAAAAATTACCCTTGAGGGGGTCTGATTTTCTATTTGATGGCTCTATAACCAAATAAAATTAAAGACTAGGAAAATTATGTTTTCCCTGAACAATGATGAAATTATAATGAGCAATTTACATTACATTTTGTGTTTCTTGGAGTGGTGGTAAATAAATTAGAGAAGAGGGGATGCATAGAGAGAAAATGTCAATTCTCCTACAAAGGGAAATTCTTTTCTTTTCTTTGAATTGCCTTATAAAACTAAGAACTATGAATATTGGATTATTAGATAATTTATTCATACACCATGATAAGAAAGCAGTTTAATTAAATTTTGAATGTAACTTACTAAAACCTCATGACAAGCACAGAAAAAGATGACTGTGGTGAGAGGGTTAACTTGTCAACTTATCAGAATCAATAAAACTAAGAAAGATAAAACATAGTTATGAGATACAAAATATGATGTCAACAATCCATTTATGAGTAGACTGTATGATAAAATGTTCTATTGTATGAAATACCATGGTAGAATAAGCCACACATTTCTCCAGGAGGTACACATCTGTCTCTACAATGACTAGAAATTGTGAGCTCAGGAACAATGTGGAAAAGTGATCTTGTCAAACACGTAGAATTCATCTTTTTACCATCAAACGTGTAGAGACAGCTCAAGAAAGTATACACCTCTGTGCACTTGATTCCAACTGTATAGGTTTTAGGCAGTTCCATATCAGAGTGGTTACATTTTCCTTACACAAACTTCATCCAATTATTTCATTCAAAGGCAGAGTAAGTAACAGCTAACTAATCATCAGCCTAAAAGTAAACTTCACAATTCATATTTTTTTAGTAGTAGTATTATTAATCAGTTAATTTGAGAAAAGAGTATGACAAATGCTGTTGATTTGAGGTTGGTTTCAGTAAAATATAAACTCAAAAAATTGTTTTCATAATAAATGAAGGACTTACTTAAAGAATGGATTCCCTAGATTAAGCAATATTTTCAAATGTATAAGTTGTCATATCCTTGTCACACTAAGAAGTTTATTGGATCTACCACTAGGTGAGTGTAACCAAGAACAAAAGATTAATGAAGTATTTGAATGTTTTAACCATTTCACTGCCATACATGACTTTAATCGAATTCCAGGTAGAATGCTGAATGCAACTTAAATCGATTTCCTAACACAGTTCTGTTTACCAGTCTGTAATTTACTCCGTGCTGCACCTGCACGGTTTCTAGGCAACCACAATGTAATTTAGTATAGTTTCCTCGATCGTGGGTGTTATTTTTGTGAAATTCTTGACTTTTGACTCAATTTGAGGGCACTGACCAGAACCATGTCAACAGGTAAATGTAAACAAAAATAATGGCTTGCCACAGAGGATGTACTGAACAAAATAATGCAAGATTCAGACTCAGAACTGAGTTAATTTGGAGATGATGATAGGGAAAACAGTGGCACAGATACCGATAATGCTGTAAGTAATGATAATACACATGATGTAGCGCATGGGGATAGTGATGATGATAATGGTAGCCAAGGGGGCGTGGCTGATGCTGATCATAAGTGGGTCATTGATGATGATTATGACAATTAATTCCCAATTTGGTGCCCAGCTTATGCCAAAAGTAATCACCCTGTAGATTATTTCTACTTGTTATTCCCTCAGGAAGCATTTGAGCTTATTTGTGAGATGACTAACACCTACGCCCTGGAATTCTTTGATTATTTGATGGACCTCTCTTAAAATTCTCACTACAATGATTGGGTTGAGTGTACTACAGATGAAACCAAAGCCTATGTTGGCTTGCAGATAATGATGGGATTGTGTTCCAAGCCAAGGATCAGTGACTACTGGGCAACTGGGGGGTACAGCCCAGTCCCTTGGTTATTGAAATGTACTGCCATGCAATCGTTACCAGCTGATCAGTACGTTCCATCATTTCTGTGAAACTTCTAAAAGGGTTCCACGTGGAGAGGAAGGATATGATCCTTTGTATAAAATTGCTCTCCTCATGAACATCGTGATACCACTGTATTAGCAGTATTACATTCCACGTCGTGAACTTACAATTAATGAATCAATGAGGAAGTTCAAGGGACAGATATACTTTCGTCAGTACATACCGAACAAACTCACAAGGTGGGGTATAAAAATGTAGTCATTGTGTGAGAGCAAGTCGGGTTATCTGTTAGACTGGGATGTTTATACTGGTAGAGACAACCCAGTGGTACCAGAGCAAGGCTTGAGTCATAATGTTTTTATGAAACTTATGGGCAATAATGGATACTTGAACCTCAGCCACCATTTATATGCTGATAACTTCTACTCCAACCCTGGCCTATTTCAAGCCCTCAAGGAACAGGGTACTGGTGCCTGTGGAACTGTGAGATTGAATAGAAGGGGACTTCCAGAAGAAATTAGCTCAGCAAAGTTACAGCTGAAGAAAGGTGATGATCCTGTTTATTACAGAAAGGGTGATAAGCTTGTCTGTTCCTGGCATGACAATGCAAGGGTCAACTTCCTCTCGACAATCGATAATAATGGCTACACTCGGAAACAAATTTGATCCAACAGTCAGAGATTGTATTTAGGGATGTGAAAAAGCCAAATGTGGTCTGCAATTACAATGCTTCAATGGGAGGGGTTGACTTATTTGACCAGAAATGTACCAGCTACCCATATCAACCCAAATGCAAAAAATGGTACCACGCAATTTATCACTTCATCAGAAGAGGCAGCAGTAGTCAACTCCAACATACTGTACACAACTGCCAACCCTAATTCGAAAATGGAGCCACATTCATTCAGGGAAATGGAGGCAAATAAATTCTGTGCTTCTAGTCCTCCGAATAAATTTGGAAGGAAAGGGAGGAGGTCGACAGATAACCCAGAGAATAGAGAGGAGCAACTGACAGGGCATCACTTTCCAATGGCTTGTCCAGATCCTAAATAAAAGCCTAACTGTATAGTGTGCAGTGACAGCCCTTCACATCCAAAGAGGAAGCAAACCAGAAATGGATGCATGAATTGTAAGGATGGGAGGGGCGATGCCTTCCCATGTGTCTTACGGATTGCTTCACGAAGTACCACATGGTCAAGCATTTCAGACATTAGAAGAAAAAAGGTAGTAAAACTACATTATTTTTCCTCTAAAATGTTGTGTTGATTGTTTTGATGTTCTTTTCTAACATTTGCAGTGCATATATGTGCATTTTAGGGTGATCTAGGGATTTTAAAATAACGCATTTCAAAATAGGCTTTATTCACCAGAAATTCCAGCACTGTAGACAACTAAGTGTTAAGAGCTGTGTGTCCAAAATCTACTAGGTTGACTGAGTGTGTTGTCAACTAAGAAGATATAGAAGGCTTCTTTTTTCTCATATATGATTTGTATCCATTATTATAGTATAATTCTATTACATTGCATGATCTTCTCTGACATAATTGGCTCCTAGAAACAGATTACTATTACAGTCTTGTATGTCTCTTAGTACTGGTGTTTTTAACTAATTAGTGCTTAAAATTATCATATGATGATAATTAACATTAAATATTTTACATGAAAAAAACAATAAGTGAGAAGTGACTCTGAAAATAACTTTACTCTTGGACAGCTCAGTCAGAGCACTGGCCTTGTTAGTCAGAGGTCCAAGATTCAAGTCCCAGTCCTGGAGTCACTTTTTGCTTATTGGTTTTTTTCACATAAAATATTCAATATATATATTACTACTTAACTGCTTCCTAATTAAAAGTAAGTGATCATATGGGTTACTAACACTGAATACTAAATTATCTTGTCTTGTCACTTCATGAGAATAATTGCATGATGAGAAAAGTTTAAAATCAATTGCTAGTTGCTTTAAATTTTATAAATTACATCAACTACTCGTTACATTTGAAAAATATTATGTTTTATGCCACTAGGATAAGATACATGTATACAAACAAAATGGGTTAAGGTTATATAAAATAACCGTGGAAGTGGCCTTAAAAAATTTAACTGATGTCTATAATTGCTCTAATGACTTACGTAGTTTCAAAACCTAGCTCCAGCAGTCTATCTGCTTCATCAAGTATAAGAACCTCCTACATAAAAAGAACATTTAAAATATAAGAGAAATAATACAATAAACTTTAACCTACAAAACACACTGTTACCTAAAACTCCTTACAAAATAGTCTGTAAAAAACACTTTTTGATGTGTTATCAAAACCAGAATAACCTTTCAGAATTGAAATTATATACACATATCTATTTGTTCATAAGAACAAAAACCCAACAACAACTTTATTTTTGCTCACTTTCAACTATTTACAAATTACAATGATTCATCAAATAAAATATCTGAAACATACAGGTTTTGACACCCTAATCCTTATAAAACTGAAGTACTCATTTCTATGTAACTACAAATGGTTACCTTGTACCAAAAATAGAACTTGAAGTGAAATAATTAATAGGTAAAAATACTTATCAAATATACTGAAAGAAAAAGTTTAAGCACTAACTTTAATACAGTTGCAAGAGCATAATGATGCTCCATTTCAGTATTTCTACCTCATTTCCTCATACTTGTCTGCATTCTTTACACATTTTTTGGGAATCTAAGTTTCCTACAGTAAATTAATTTACAAGTTTTGTATATTGCATTTAAAAAAAAAAAAAAACATGACACTCAACTTGCCAACATCAGTTTCTTAAGTACTTTAATAAAAACTAATGGCAAACATAAATGTTTTTCTATATAATAAGATTACTCAAATCCACTAGTATAACATTATAAATTTTTGTACTTCAGCTATTATTGTAACATGTTTACAAGGCAGTTCTGTCTCATTACACTAAGTTTCAAGGAAAAGGCCAAGAAGATATATTATAACCATTCTGTTGTCCTTTTAACTCTTCCATAACCAGCAATCTTTTGAAGTATTATTGTGAATGGCTGGTGTAACTTGGTCCAGCTGGCCAAATGTTAAGCCTAAGTGTTTGTTTTTTGGAAATGAAAAACAACTTGAGCATTCAAAATAAAAGCTGTTCTCATACACTTGATATTACTGTCACAATTTTAAGACATTATCTTATTAGTCAGTACTAAATTAGCCCAGTATCATATACAACGAATAACGTATCAGTTGAAAGATGAACAACATGGCAAAATACAAGGCAGAAAAAATAATTCAAGTAAAATGAAGATATGTCTGCATTTAAACTGAAACAAATTGTAGTTTCTACACATTTAAATTTTTAAGTTTTGAAAACAGCTGAAATGAAGTAATTAAATGCATGAAAATTAAAGTTTACCTATACTGTATACAGATGGGCCCTACATGACAAGCTTACATTCTCTCTAACCTGTTCACTTCATACACATGTAATTCACATCACAGTGCCATTGCTTTGTAAATTTTAAACACAGAATAAGAAGAAAATGCATGATATTAACCCTATTGCTATGGGTAACCTTTACTGTGCATGACACAAGGTTTTAATGTCTTACATTCAAAATATTATTAAACTACTTTTTTTACATTATACCAATTAGAATATCTTATAATCTTAGATAATAATCTATATTTTGATAATATACAAGTTTTAAGTTCTTAATTCTACAAAGCAATATTTAAAAAAAATCCTGAATTTCCACTAGTGTGACCCACGTGACACATTTTCTCTTAGCATGTCATCATCCCTATTTTATCCATCACCCCTCGAAAATGTATGAAATTAAACACAAAATACTCTACAAAATCGTTATTGCTCAAACAAACCCTGATTTTTATAGCCTTCAATTTTGTTCGGTTACAGAGCTATTAAACAGAAAATTGGACCCCTCCTGCCACACCCACCTGTCACATCCTCTCTTTTGCAATTCGTTGACATTTCTCTCTTACATTTCATTATATATTACCTATAACCAATAGAAAGTCAAGGTTTTCATCTATCAAATGATATATTGTATAAGGTTATATTCTGAACAGAATATTGTCATTTACAACTTATAATGGCATTGATAGTAGTTGGACATGGTTCAAAGGGCAAATAAAACAATAAAGTTTAACTATAAATAGATGTATACTGTTATGAACTTAGTGCTACTTGGGATAAACGAATGTAGTTTCACGTTACAATTTGAAGTCATTTTAGAAAGAAAAAAAAAAGAGTAATTTAGTTTTATTTAGATTTTTTTAGTGGTTACGAGGTCGGTCAAATTGACCAATCCCGTTTTGGGATAGGGTAGAGAAAATAACAGATAAACTATAAAGTTTTACTAAAAAACGTTTGAAATGCATTTAGGAGGTTTTACGGATTACACAAAGGAAATTTGAGATTTTGGAGATGAGGAAAAGTATTTTTAGTTTTAACATGAAAATTACTTTGTACACAGACTATTCAAAACAAATACTCAATATATTAATAGACACATCTTTATTTTATTTTATTAAAAATACTGCACTAAAAATATGATTTTTTTGTATGTGAATAACTTATAATATGAACTGAAAGACTGTCAATTTTGTGAAGATATACACACTATATTGAAAGTTAGAAGTATTAAATCTATAAAGACTTTAATTGATTACAAAGAGGTTACGTGGTCAGTCAAATTGATCAACCCAATGTTGAGAGAGTTAATATATAGCTTCAGTGTTTCATTCTTTTACATGTTTCCTAAGTGGTTCAGTTTTTTTGTATACTAGAATATTCACAAGTTGGTAAAATTTGTAAGTTATTGATAAAAGCTAAAAAAAATTATTTAATTTTGTTTTATAATTGACTCTTACTTAAAAAAAACATTGAAAATCAAAAATCAAGCATCTTGAATGTAGTGTGCTCTGATCTACTGTTGATAAACAATCTATCACAAGTATCACTTTTAGGAACATTTTCATTTTTATTTAAAAAAATAAAAACTGGTCTAACATAATATTCTCATTCTCACAATTTCAAGACATTAATTTATCAGTTGATACCAAACTTGTAGTATATACAATAAGTGTACAAGACATTCAAAACTAAAGCAACAAAATTAACTTATCTGATAATGACATTGCTCCAGACTGGTGTGGGATGTTTGTTTTTGGTTTCAGTAAAATAAAAATCTGATAGAAAATAAATTTCTGGCTTGAGTTTACCTTCAATGACTACACAAGCTAGCATTGGCCTAAAACTGTAGAACAAATGAACTCTATAATATGTAATGATAATGCTGGCACAGAGAGAACTGAAAATCATGCTAAGTACATAAACTACACCACCTCACTGATGCTCAACACTGCACATTTCACTCTAACAAGATTCTGCAAAGAAAGTATGGCAAGATCAATTTTAACAAACTTTCCACATGCTATTAAACTGTTTGTATGAATACTGATTTCTAAAACTCATTTATGCAGGTCAAATGCATAAAAATCTGTTAAACCTGTATCACAAGGCTGGATAATTATGTGGTAGAATATAACATAGTATACTATGATTTCAGGTTGTTGTTTTTTCTAGTCATCTTATGAAACCAATCTTTGATTTTAAGGTGTAGCTGGAAGCTTCTAGCTTATAAACATTATTTGTTAATTTCAAAAACTTGTTTATTTTTCTTTCAATGGTACTAGAAGTTTTTTCAGGTCAGAGTGTTTTCTTTTGCAACCACATTCTTATATTTGTGGATAATGGCACTGCTCCAGATTGGTGTGGGATGTGGCTTTGAATTCAGCTGCTGTCTTAAAAGGTTATACAAGTTTCCACATTGAAAACCCCTTTCCACAAAATGTTTCAAGTTTTGGCTCTACATCATAAGAACACTGAATAATATTCATGGAAAAGGGCTGTGGCATACTTACCTAGCCATAACATCAAGTATCTAATGGTCAAGAATTTGCCATAATTCAAATATATATGTATATATATATATATATATATATACACACACACACACATATACATGTCAGTTGTGGCACCACAGCTTCCATCTGAAGCAGTGTACAAATGCATTAGCAACTCTTCAGGCACAAAAATTTCACATAGACAAATTTCAGTGTTCTGCATTAACCAATACTACATATTACAGGTTCAAGTTAACCAAAATAAATTGGTGTAACACCAAAAGGGTTATGTCAAATTTTGTTTCAAGCTATTGATAGATTTTAATTAGCAAAACTGCACTAAAGTAGTGATTGGTTTAGAGTTTATGAGAAATATATCAAGCATGTTTGAATACACATTAAGTCATTCCTAGAATCTTTTATGTCTGATATTATATAAATATGAACTTAAGGATTTTGAAGTGACACAAACACCATGTTATGCATGGAAAGTAATCATGATCACAATGTAATGTGAAGGTAATTTTTTATATTTAGAAAACTGATAATTTAGGAATTTTTCAAACAGATTATTGTGGCTTTTTGCTGAGAGCCATCAGCTTTGATTTCAAGCAGTGTAAATTGAAGAATTTATCAAAATGTTTTTTATTCTAATCACTATGGATAAACTGATTTATTGAAAGCAGAAAAAATAACACAAAAGCATTACAAACTAAATATCAACTTACAAGAGATTTTACTTGTGATGCTAGGTTGAAGTCTGAATTCTTGCTCATCAGGAGATCCATCAACCTACCTGGAGTTCGCACTAAAATGTTTCCTCTAAAAAGAAATAAATATAAAATCTTACTGTTCATGAGTTTAAGTTCTGGAACTTCCTTTTGGTTCTCTAGTCTTTGTGATGGAGAATTATTAAAAGTAATGTTTATCCTTTTTTGACTTACTTCCCTGGTATACAACAAATTTGGAAAAACCCAGTATCACTTATCTTAGAAAGATTAAAAAAAATACTGAATAACGTTTTTGAAAACTCTCTCACTGCTACACAACCTACTATAATACAAGAGTTTAAATATGTACCAAAATATTTAAAAATTTCTAGCCAGTTGTGAGTACTGGGAAAGCCCTTAGTAGCAGTACAGTTACTTGTTCTTTCAATCAGTACTAAAAATACATTATCTAATGAGAGGACACATTTTTTACATTTATTATACTGGAATTAAAACCAAGAGTTTAAATACAATTTGAGATTTCTTTTGTTAGATCTATCACATGAATGCTGTATTTTTCAAAAGTGAAACAGAATCTGAAATCATAAGTTATTAAATCAGTAACCAAATTGATATTGAAAGTAACTTAAATGAATTAATGCTTTGATTACTTTATGATGCCAAAAACATTACAGTAGTTCATCCATAAATGTTTCTTACAAATAATGAAGACATTTTTACAAATTATATATCACTAGGGATGCACAATATCTATTTCCAAAAGAAAACATAACCAATTATGGAGTTATATGCTTTATATGAGAAGTTTTAGATAAAAAAAATATCAGATTTTTCCCAGTATACCTGCAGTAAAAAGTGCATAATTTTTCATAACATCACTTTAAATGCATAAGTAACTAAGACATGAAATTATATAACAATCTCGGATATTCATGTAAAGTAAATAAAATAAAATCATTTAAGACTCACAAATAATGGGGGTTTTAAATGTTCAACTACTGATCAAAGAAATAGATACATAAATGACTTATTCACATGGTTTGAAAAAGTAATTCTTCACTTTTCCAGGTTTTGATATTACTTCTAATTTCTTTATAAACATTCTAGTTTATAAAACCAGTGATGCCTGCTTTTCGATCTTTCAATCTTAACAGTTCCCCATTACACATCTTAAGCTTTTTTGCGTGTTGCTAGATGTAAGGAAGATGCTACTGTCTTACGAAAGGATCTGAATACTTGTAAGTTTGAAAAATAAGTGGTATATGGCTTTTAATTATGATAAATGTAAGGTATTACATATTACAATTTGAATTATGAGTATAATTTTGATGGAAATAACCTTAACAGTGTTTGGAAGAACAAATCTTGGAGTTCTTGTTAATCAGTCTCTTAACCTATCCAAAAAATGTGCTGCTAGTGGTAGGAAAAATAGGATTTAAGGTTGTATCTATAGAAGTATTGAATAAAAGTCTAAAGAGGTTATAATGTCATTGTACAGCCACATTTGGAGAATTGTGTTCAGTCAGAAATTACATTGAACTATTGGAAAGAGTTCAGGGGAGGGTTACTAGGATGGTACCTGGAATAGAAATATTATCAAATGAGGATAAGACCTCTAAACTTGTTTCTTTTGAAAAAACAAATAAATAGAGTTAGAGGAGATTTGATTGAGGTGTTTAAGATTTTTAAAAGAAATGGCAGTGTTGATGTATCATCTTTTTTCATATTAAATGGTGAAATTTTGGCAGGAAATAAGTCATTTTTAGCTAAGAAAGCTTAATTTTTCTGATGGGGTGGTTGGCTTCTGGAATGAGTTGCCTTTGAATGTGGTGGATGTAGTTAATTAAAGAGAGTTAAGGGAAAGCTTGATAAGTATTTGAATGATAAGAACTGTTTCTCAGGTACATTTTGGTTTGTTTTTAATTTTGCGCAAAACTACAAAAGGGCTATCTGCACTAGCCGTCCCTAATTTA